CAAACACGGAGGCTAAAGGTAGAACAGGCTCTCATGTGCACAAGGAATGTGAAATGGAGACAAAATTGGAGAGAAAATCAAGCTGCCTGTTTTTATTTGTCAAATCAGATGTGTCCTTTTGAGGAGACAGGAGAAAAATCAGAAGGAAAAACTAACAAAACATGTAGTCACACGCTGTAGCGTACACTGGAATAAGGATTTAGTCAGCATTTCTGTAAATGTGCAGGAATCTTTTAGCACTTCAAGCTATTTCACATTAAGGAGAGCTGTGGAAAGACTAAAGCAGAACGACTAACGTTTCCTCTGACACAGCACAACAAGTCAATTCCACCGTGACCGTAAGATCAAGTGCATAATGCAGCTTTACATCACCTGCATCTGATTTTCCAAGAAACCTGCTTAGTCAGCTCCTCTCTGTCCAGGACAATGTCGTCTCAGGCAGCAAATGCTTCATAGTTTCAGGAAACAAAAACGTCACAAAAATGAAGTTGATGAGCGTAAAGCTCAAGCCGAGACGATTAATCCTTCTGCTTTATGCCTCATAGGTGTTTCAGAAATGCAAGGAAGCTATACGTGATGTGAAGAAGGCTGATTAGCTACCAGAGGGTTTTTTTTTTTTTTTGCTTTTTCTAGTGAGCCATCTGTCGCCGAGTTCACACTCTCCCCGCTTACAGAAAAGCTGCCAATAGTCGCTTAAAACCCAAGAACACACACGTTCTGACGGAGAGAGATAAAACGTACGAAGCAAAACCTCAACTTTCCGCACAATCAGATTGACAAGCTCATCTGTGAAAGCCCCAGGAAACCTGAACACCGTTCACCGGAAGAGAGATAAAAGTAACTTTTTTTTTTTTTTTTTAAACAAGCCTGTGTGGTTTTTATCAGGAGTGTGAATGAGGAACCAAGACAAAACTCCACACCATGGTGAACAAAAGGGCTACAATGCATTTCAAATTTTTTTCTCTACAAAAAAAGTTACGTGAGTGACATGTACCGGTTTTACTCATTTAGAAAATGAGACATTTCCTCAATCCTCTTACAGCTCCGTCAGATTGACTAGAACCAGCTCTGAATCGAGTCACATTTCTAAATATGACGTTGCATTGCAACTCTGATTGCATGGAGCTGTTGTCCTGATGGACGGCCAAGATATCTGCAGCCTCCAGCAGGTTGTTCTTCCAGGTTTGACATGCATTTAGCTCCATCCTTCTACCAATCTAATCCCTTTTGCTTCCTTGTCAGTGCTAAAGAAAAGCATCCCAACAACAGGATGTGTTCAGCGTAGTGTGAAGATTAGTTTTTCTACTCGCAGCTCAGTTTTGGTCTCATCTGACAAGAGTTTCTTCTTCTTCCGTGTGCTTACAGTGTCCTCCACATAGCTTGAGGCAAACGTCAAAGGGGATTTTTATGTGGCTCCCTTTCCTCGCATAAGGGCCAGTCAAAGCCAACACTTCTGTTGTGCTGTTGACAGGTCCTCCCATTTGAGCTGTGGGTCTCTCCATCTCCTCCAGTCTCCAGAGGTCTTTCATGGGTTCTCACTGGGGTTCTTCTCTCCGATTGAGTTCTAGTTTCATAGTCAACTTAGTGTAAACTTTTCCGCCCCCGATTTTTATTTGCAAGAAATAGCTATTCTGTCACACGTGAGAAAGTACTCGTGGGTATAAACACGCCATATTGTATAAGTTCTTGTACAATGTGTCGTGTTTTAATTTGGCGGCACATTTCTCCAGCAGTCATATGCTAATGCAGGAACCGTGTGGGGTACACGCCGGGCTGGTTGCAAGTCCAGCACAGTGTAGAATTATTGTACACATAAATATACAGTTTTGTTGAATTGTACATTAGCTTCCTCTGATTTTCCTTACAAATTTCATTTTATCTTCTTACAGCAGGTGCTGCAGATTTGCATAAGAACTAGTCAGTGTTTTTCTTATCTCAAAGTGCAAACCAGCACAGGAAAAAAAAAAAAAAAAAAAAAAAAGAAAGTGACTGCATGCTACTCAGAATCATTTGTTTCTTATTCAGGGAAAAACGTCTACTCGTAGAAAGATTTCCAAGTGTATCACACAAAATCTTCTAAAATGTCCTGTTGTAACTTCACTACCAACAAAGTGCTTCTTGTTGTTTTGCATTCAAGGCATGCTGGAAAACACTTATTTCAGTCCCGCAGACATTCCTGTTGCGAAGAACAATGCAATTTCCTCCAAAAATATGTTTTAATATTTGAGAAAATACAGACATTTCTCCAGGACATTACCTTTTCTACAGTGTGTTATATTGCCTTCTCATGCTTGCAAAATGAGTCGTCTTGTCTACATTATCATGAAACACGAAAGCTTCACTTCTGTTGACTTCTGAATAAGCCGATTTCACTGATAAAAGGGCTTATTAAACATGGAAAACTTTTGTTTTCGAAGGTGATCGTCATCAAGGTAGCTGCCATTTGCCAATAGTTATGGTTACATCGATTTCTACTGTGAGAAAAAAGATGAATTAAAAGATGCCTATTTTAAAAGTTGTACCCGATGGTGAAAGACCTCACCAAACGGCTGAATAACCACCAACTACATTTTAAGCTCTAGCGTATGAATGTCCAATATGTATATTATCCATGTTGACATTCAACAAGATGGCATTAAGCTGTTATTTAGTCAGGCTATGTACTTGGGTAAGTTGGATGCCATACAGACAGGCGACGTAAAGTTTTCTGAATTTTCTCATAAAAAAGTTTTTTTTTTTTTTTTTTTAACTGCCTTAAGTTTCAATAGCAAAGGAGCAGCTCTCCAAACAGATCGTAAACATTGGAAGAGCCCAGGAGCGATTGACAACATGCAGCGACATGTATGGGAGTGGCAGTACATTGCAACTTTATGGTCAAACATCCTGTCACTTCAGTACATTTAAACATCTGACAGCTTATTAAAACAATTTTAAATTGTGAGAACAGTTCAATAAAACATGTTTTCTCTTTTTTTTTTTTTGCATCTATGGCACTGCTACTGCTAACAAAATTGTGTATTTTCACATACGAGAACCACAATTTGCTGCCGTTTCTGTTAAAATATATCCATGTGGTTGATCTACCACAAGAAGAGTAGCCTCACAACAACAAATTGAAAGGAATTATAAACCGGTTTATGCTTCATACCTATTATAGCTCTCAATATTTGCTTTCAACACTCACCTATTTCCTTGCCCAGCCTGGAATGCAGGATGGCGCCAGCAGAGGTGACAACTGCGCAGCTTTTGAAGCCACTCCTTCCCTGTTGCCGTTTGTTCAGCAGCTCCAGCGGATGGGATGGCACGAAGTCGGCCCAGCCGAGAGAGGAGAAGGGCTCCTCCAACCCATCCACCGTCTTCAGCTGACCCTCGGCCTTCATTTGACACAGCAACGCTTTGGCACTCTGGGAACCTTTGCGATGTCCGTTGTAGAAAACGTGGTGTTTGTTCGCGCTCATGTAGTCCTTCATGGCGCGCTGCAGTCGGGGACTCAGCATGCCGGCGGACGCGTGGCCCTTCCACAGCCTCCGCACCACAGAGGCAGATCGGGAGAAATAGTAATCTTCCAAGTCAGAAGACTCGCCACCAGTTCTCCCGTCTCCTGCAGTCCTAATTTTGGGCTCAAGATCCTGATCTTCTCTGCCATCCTCTTCATCTTCACCGCCGTGGAAGTGTGTGGTACCGATCTGGTTCTGGTACATTCTCTCACGACTCTGGACCGCAGGGTCTGAATGAGAGCCCACGTTCTCTGTACCAAAGGAGGACCAGGCAGCCAGGCTCTGTGGGTCCAGGTACTCCTGGCGACCTGCCTCCTGGCTACCGTAAGTCACGTAAGGGCTCTGGCTTGCCTCCATGCTGGTCTCTGAGGTTATGGAGCTGGTGGAGGGTCCTGGTCCTGGTGGTCCTGGTTTATCTCTGAGATATGTCGTAGTTAATTGCAAAGCCTGTTCAGGTCTTAAGCCAAAGACGGCATGCTGCTGATTGGAGGCTTGTATGGAGGCCAGCCGCCTGGTGTCAGGATGCTGGGAGAGTAAAGAGCCAACAGAAGTCAGAGACTCGTCCACGCGGGCATCCAGGAAGTAGGAGAGCAGAGCAAGAAAGACCAGAATCCAGACCAGCATGGCCACCAACAACACCCTCCGCCACTGCTTCATGCTGGACTTCATTACCGTTCGCTCACATAGACACCCGTGGAGCTGGCCCGCCAACAACAAATCCCCACAGCCAGGACTCAACCCACAGGTCAGCTGGGGAGGGGCTGTAAAACAAAACCTCAAAGTTACTGCTTCTGGCGTAAGGGAAACATGTGGAGAGTTACTGCAGATTGGTGAAGCACTCACCTGAACTGATGCCTTTATTTCTTCCTGCCCATGAGTCTGTTATGTGTCCGATGCTAACGGGACCCTGAGGAGAGGAATGGAAACGGTTAAGGGAGTGAGGAAAACATATGTAGGCCTGACAAGTTTGTGTAGTCGGCAAACTTCTGTCTCCTTTCCACACAACTGCTAAGTAAATTTATCACGACTTGAAACAGTTTTAAACACGGACCAAACTATGTCGGATTAACTCTAGTCAAAACCCTGGAAATAATTCAGGGTTATTTGAAAATTGCCTCAAGCACAGTTTGAGGTGTGTCACAAACTCATCCCTGCTTGTTCACAGTCGTCTTTGCTTTGTACAACATGTATGTAACTTTGACAGGGAGCTATAAAAATACCTTATTGATGACATCTTGGGTGCATCAACCAGTTTAACAAGGTTTTATTAAAATTATCTGTAGTAGACAGAGCTGAACAAACAGTTGAGTGCAAACAGCTTTGAAAGCAGTCGTCAACTTGATGCGCTGAAAGAGAGGCCAATCTGCTGTTTTACCAAAGGGAAAAAAACAAAAGGTCAAAGCAATTTGCCCGACTTCTTAACCCCCCCCCAAGATCCCAGTTACCATTTAGATAAGCCCCAACAAACTCAATATATTGAGCCGTCAACCTCAGCCAACAAACTCCAAAGTCTCGCCACCGAGACCCAACCACAAGTTCCCAGACAACACGAGATATACCCAAAGGACTCTGGTCTGCGCCTGAATATCCTCAGTACCAAAAGACGGTCCAGCCATCTAAACTCTATTACGTGTGAATTTTTTTGTTGTTTTTACAAGTTCGCAATAGAAAGTGCTAAGTAATTTTATGTGAAATGTATTTAATACCTGTGATGTACACACCCCATGTTGTCCATGGCATGATTAAGTCTGCCCTGCTGAACCCGACACCTGGAATTTATACTTCAGTCCCCAAAACAATTCCATATTAAAAGGTCAGTAAAACTGGATTTAACAAAAAACAACCTGAAATGTTGCTGAGCAACCAAATATTTTTATGGAAAAGGGTAAACACAGAATGAGCTTTTCACAAGATGATTTTATCATCTTGTGAAAAAGTAGATAAACCAAAAATGGAAGTCAGTTAAGTCTGCCATCACGTCAAATATTTAAATAACAAATTGCACATTTGCTTTTACGACGTCCATGATCACAATTCATTTTCTATCACGGATTTTTCTCATTCTGGGTCATATATTCATGACAAACGAACCAAATGGACAAAGTTCCCGCTTAGTCTCCTTAATTTTAAGAAAATTCAGAGAGAATGATTATACACATAAGTCTCACCATTTATTTTCTGTTTCCTCTTTTGACGCATTACCATTATTATTGGAGCACAAACTGGTCCAGTGATTCAGAGAGGTCGTTATTAACACAATGCCAAGTCCAGAGCATGACGGTTTGCTTTATTCCTTGTTGCAGTGAATCCCACAGTAATTACTAACAGTATCATTAACTGACTGGCTCACTTTTAACATCTTTGACAATTCTCTTGTGCACAATGTGTTGGATGGATTCTGTGAAACGCACAACAACAAAGGTGAATAAATGAAGCATTAAATTGCCTCAGATCTGTGGTCTACAATCCTCTCAACCACATGCAATTATGAGTTTTGGTCTCTTAATGCTTGAGCGTTTTTGTCAACAGAACAAGAGCGAGAGATCGGGGTAGAGAGGACCAGAGCCAAGCATGAGAGTTGAGCCTCCTCCAGTCCTAATTACAGCTTCCTGTCTCCGTCCTGCGGAGTGCAGCAGAAGTGATCTCAGGTGGCCCTGTAACCCGGCCTCTTTTGAGACTCTCTCCCAGGGTCATGCAGAAGACCAAAGCTCATCCTGCTGACCCTAAACTCAAAGAGAGGAAATCAGCGGGGAGCAAGTCGGCTAGAGAGAGCGCCAACAGTATGGGAGAAAGAAAAATACTGGATGGAAAAGCATGCAAGCTCATGTATCTGCACGAATGCATGCGACTGTGGCTGAATAGATACATCAGGCACGAACAGATGAAAGTATAAAGAGACAACCTTTTTTCTTCTTACCTGCTGTCTGACAAATACATCAGGCGGATCTTTTCCTGTTTAGGGTCAGCTAGATTACCAAAGTTGTTTTTATTAGCACCATTTCAGAATAACGAGACGTTTTTTTTTTAAAGATACATTTTCCTAACCGTCTTCAAATGCAGAAGTTTACATACATTTTCTTATTATTCGGTAGCATTGTCTTCTAAACTATACGACTTGTTTTAAATGTAAAGTCAACTTTTTTTAAGTTTATATCATCTTATTCCCTCAACAAAAGTCATACCTGGAGCATTGCTTTGATTCTTTCATTAATGTTTGAGGAATCCTGTGAAGTTTTGTGACGTTCCTCTTGCAGAAGAGCATCCACACAACATGATGCTGTCAACACAATATAATGCACACAGTTTACATTGTATTCTAGTCTGCATTTTTTCTCCAAATATAATAATGGTCACTATACCAAACATTTCAATTTTTTTTGTTTCACGAGACCAAACTACAAGTCGTAGAAACTAAGATATTTTCCTAGAATGTATTTGAAAGTTTTATCAGAATTGTTTTTTTGTTTTTTTTTTCCATTCTTGGAGTAATGTCTTCTTCCTCTTCTGGTCCATTAGCCATTTTACTGTGATTGACGATGCTTGAACAGATCCACAAGTCTCTTCCTGATATCTTAAATGATTCATTTTGATTGTTCTATATCGCACAATAAAACCGTGTGTAAAGTGCATCTAAAACACTCTCACAGGTGTGGATCATTCATACCGCTTCAAGGCGCAGTAATCAGTAATTCAACATAATAAATATCCCCGTCACAATTGTAGCATTTAAAAAAAAAAAAATCTGTGATTTTGGTACTCCTAATTTTAGCAAACTAAAATATATGATGTCACGCAGCAACATCATATATTTTACCACGATCTGGTTTCACCTGTAGTGGGCCAAAATGCTCATGCCCTTTTCTAAATAAACAAATTAGCACAACATATTGCTTTGGAAAATCTTACAGAAAGCTCAATCTTTGCCCTTAAGGCAGCAAGCCTTCAGCACAGATCAGACAGTAATAATAGGTGGAACCTTCTTCGAACAAAAGGGGATAAAGTGCAAAAAGCGGCATGTACAAATGGAAAACAACATTCTTTTGAAGAGAAACTCACAACCGGAAAAAGAACAAACCACAAAACACACAGGTGCTTTGCAGTAGTGCTGTGAACAAGCAAATGTCATCTGTATGCATTACTGCTGCGTGGCACCCCACTGAAGAGTGCGCCCCGAGGCGTGACGCGCAGGCATGGGTGCCCGATGGTCGCTCAACCTCACCTGATGGTGACCAAGATGTGCATTTCTGTTGCTGTGGTGAAACAACACGCGTGTGCGGCACAGATGGAGAGGCGGAGGTGGAGGACAGAGCTACTCTGGTGAGCTCTTCACAAAGGAACAACAAAATGGAAAGCACGGAAAAGCGACGATGCCAGACATCAAACGCTGACTAAATGACTTGGCAGGAAACAGAGAGCAACAAAAGGAGCCTTTTGGAATATAAATGAAAATGGATTGAAAAAAAAAAAAAACCCAAAACAACCAAGTAGTTTAGAAAAAACGATGGGTGTGTGCAAGTTGTTGGTACACAGAAAGAAAACACCTTTGCGAATTTTATGGCACCTGTGACGCACAAGCTGAAAGAAACGCCAACTACATATATGGCAAAACCCAGTCAAGACAGACTGTGGCAACAAGCATGTCAAAACATTTATGCAAGTTGTGGTTTGTCTAAATAGACTTCAGATATACAGAAATACATGAGTAGGAGTAACAACAATTATATGTGTTTTGTCTTATTTTTTTTCACACAAAAGCATTTTTAAAAAAAAGTGCTGTGGAGATTGTTGCACAACTGCAAACAAACCACAAACATGAGCATCCACCTACCTAATCTAACAACACAAGCACGGAAAGCACTGATGAGAGAAGTGTCCAAGGGTAGCCCTATGGTAACTTTGGAGTAGCTACAGAGACGCACAGCTCAGGTGGGAGAATCAGCTGACAGGACAACCATGTAGACTCGCACTACACAATCTGGCCTTCATAGGGAAACGATTGTTAAAGGAAAGGCATAAGAAGTCTCTTGTTCAGTTTGCCTCCACATACTATGTGGAGGCTTTTCTTAAGCAGTAACAGAGGGGTTGTTTGAGAATGTTGGGATGATGGGTGAGGCCAAATACAGGACAAACCTCTAAGAAAACCTATTTCTAGGCAAACGCATTAAGAGGCTCAACAGATCCAGGCATTGAGTCATTAAAATGACTCAAAGTCTGAATCTGAATACAACTGCAAATATTCCACAGAACTGAAAACCTGCTCTTCTCAGACAGTCTTCACCCAGAATGACTGAAGTTGCCAACATAGGCTATTTTACAGAGAATAGGCTAAAGTTTCAGTCTCCAGATGTACAAAGCTGGTGCAGAGCTCTAGCTGCAAAATGTGGCTCTAAAATGTTACACAAATTTCTCAAACATTTTTTTTATAATAATTTAAATGTGTAATTTTTTTTTGTGTTGACCCACTACATGAAATGGTGTGTGCAATTTGGTAAAAAGCTAAAACCTCCAATGGCTATTTGAACATTAGTGTACATAGATTACTGCAGATGTCTCCAAGATTTCTGTGGTGGGCTCCGTTTTCCTACACACCGCATCAGCAAAATGATTTAAATGAACTAATGTCAGCTGGAAAATACATTATCTCAGTTTTCCTGCGTTTCTCCAAGCTGAAATGCGCAGAGCCATCGGGGTGTCCTCAGGAGGATCGTTAGGACATCCCAGTCAGAGAAAACCCTCAAAGAAAGGGAGTTCCAGTCGAGAAACGGACAAGTTATCGCACTTCTAGTGATGGCAGACATTTCTCAGACATTTAATCCAGTCATGGATTAGCTGAGCTATACACATTATGTTTTAGTAAATGGATATTTCTGGTTTTAAGAAAAATAAATAAGCCAATAAAACCTTTGCCTGAACAGTGTAATTAAAGTAATACCTACTCAGTGGTAATAGGTGGCAAAACTGGACAAACGATAAACATTTAAATGAAAGTTATTGTGAGTGGCTAAAGAGGCGCCAGGCTAATCATTCTTCCAAAAACAGTAGTTTGTCACCTTGTTGGTTCAATAACTAAATAAGATTAGAGGTGACATTCAAAAGAAGAATAAACTCAGACGGATGCAGAAATAAACAGTTGTTTCCAGACAACAATAAATGAAATGAACCTCTATGAAGTGATTTTTAATATTAAAATATCCAGAATCTGAATTTTGAGATTCAAAGTGCGTATTTTTGTCATCACAAACTCAGTTTACAATTGCACATGATATGGCATAAAATATCAAACTTGCAACAAATTTCTTTTAGTGCTGATGGGGCCTTAGCCTGCATCCTTTGTAGATTAAAATGTTTATTTTTTTTGTTTTTAAAAATTGGGTATTAGATTCCAGTGTCTTACACTCACTCGTGAGAAAACCCAACATATTTCTGCCCATTTTGAAATTGTTTAGCTTTTTTTAATTGGTTGAATTAGTCAGTCATAAAGAAACATGATGCAACATGTTCATTCTTCAATGAAATGAGTAAGTGCTCTCTGTTCATCACAACATTCAACATTGTGTTTGTTATGATGTAAAGCACTTTGAAATGCCTTGCTGCTGAAATATCCTATACCAGGGGAGCCAAGATCTACTTTTTCTCTCACCAGCCAGCTGAGATCTACCTCATGACATGAAGAAATTGTAAATTAAACTCGACTGACTTATTTCACATGCGAAAATACATCAGTTATAGCAGAAGTAATAAAGTGATAGAAAACCTAACGCAGTTTCTTCCTCAGTGAGATTCTGACAGTGGGAGCAGGTTACTGGTTTCTCTGTCAGAAGCTGGTCAGTTATGGTCGATCGTGATCTACGTATTCAGCACCCCTGTGCTATACAAATAAAATTTGATTGATTAGTTCAAGCCTCGGTTTTTTTTTTTTTTTTTTGGCAAACAAACTACAAAGCTTTATACCCATCAACAATGTAGCAAGTGAATGATAATCAAGTAACTGTGGAGATTTTATTCACAGCAAACCTTGCACAAGTCTTGCGTAACTTGCCAGTGGCATGACTGTGCTTGTATGAACCATTCAGAAAATCATAGATGACGGGGTCAGGATTTTCATTTATCTCTATGGAAACTATTGCAATCTGATCTCTTGTCTTCGCACATTTCCTTCCCTCCAGCTCACTGCAACATTTCACCATTGCTTAAGTAAATTGACAATCACCACATCCATTCATGTTTTAATGCTTAGTCTGGTTGATGCCTGCTTGATGATTAGGGAGTAGCTGCAGTGTAGCTGGGTTTCAGGCAGGTTTTTTGGTAAATCACAAAGGCTCTTACAGACGACGTGAGGTTTGACTGTGACTGAGGTGCATCTATGCGGCATGGTAGCAGATTTTGTCCTCCACACTCTTTCCACCTCAGGGCTTTCGTGCTGAATTCTCCTTACCCAAAAGGTGTTTAATGACCAAAACTTTCTGTGGTCAAAAAATAAATAAATAAATAAATAAAAAATACTGCAAACATGCATTTTTCTAGCCAAAATTTATGAGGCTGCCTCATGCATCTTCAGTGTTTGGGGACTGCACATCCCCGTTAGCCTCATTTCTTTTTCTGCTACTGGCTTTAAATAACACTGCACTGAAATATTGGCTGACAGGCTGACGCTAGAGTCTCCCAAACACAGATGCATCGACAGTGTTCATCCCTAAAAGCGCTACGAGGTTGCAGTTGTCAGGCAACACTGGCAAGATAATTAAATGTTTGTTAGGAGTCATTCCAAAAATGCTAAAGTACGTACATGTTTCTTTTAGCATGACAAAATGCTCATCCTTAAAGAGATAATGGCTTGTTTTGTCAACACAGGCAGCATTCTGACATCTGGCCTATAATATTTTTTTTAGTCTACGTTTACTTACTTGCTTACTGATTTCGTGTCTCAGCACTAAGTAATTAACCTGACGCACCAGATGGACTGCTGCACGGACTGCTGCTGGGAGAAAATCTGCAGCTACTGGAAGGCATTTCAAAGACATTTTTTTTTTGCCAAAAAGCAAAATTATTAGCAATACTCAAAAAAAAAAAAAAAAAAAAATCACTGTTTTTTTTTTGTTTGTTTGTAGCTTAAAATTAGACGAACATTTCATTGCGAGATTCTTTTTTCCTGAGCAACTTTGTCGAGACAACCCAAACCATCGACAAGCTTTTTCAACCATCTGAATCATTTTTAACAAAAACTGGATTTGTGATGTCTAGGGTGCTTTTAAATCCACAAAACAAAATTGGATATCT